ATAGAAGTTGACCTTCAATAAAAGTATAGCCCGATGCGGGGCTCGAACATATAGTTCGGCGTGAAAGTAGTAGTTTGAATTTTTAAGAGGTTTTCGTAATGGGAGGGTTCCTAAAAGAAGTGTGGTTTAAATCGTTCAATAGAAATTAAAGACGTTTCATACTGATGTTGCTCATGCTCTTTTACAGTCGATCCTTTTTAGATATTATTGTTTGGTTGTATGTTTGTTAGGGTTCTGATACTGTTGATTCTCAAATATGGTTAGTTTCTGATGTTTCTGCTGATGAAAAGTCTTGTGAATATGAGTATGACAGGAGGATTATATTTTATTCTATCATTTTTTTCTCGTGCGAATGGACTTTGAGAAGGATTTGAATTGTGATCTGACAATTACGCTGTTTTTTTCGAGTCAGTTGTTGTTAATGTTGATTACAACGGTTGAATGCTGGATTTTAAAATTGAGTGGAATTAACAATATAGACACTCGTCCCTTTCCATTGATGATACTCATGTTTTCGATCATTTTACATTCACTGCACATTATTGTCAACCAAGGACCACTCGTTACTGGTGCGAAGAACTGTGGAATTGTTAATCTCCTCGATACTGCAATTATGATATTATTCGCGAATTTCGACCTGAATATAGACATCATTTCAAAAAGACATTCGAGAAAATCGCACAATTCACTTGTCATTACAGGAACTTCTCAGTTCATTTTCATCAATTATATTCACACTTTAGATCCTCGTTATTTATGGAACTCCTTCATTTATTGTTAAATCTTGTAATATTGATCAACCTCTTGTAGAAAATTTGAATCAGCTTTATGATTTGGATTGGATTTAGATCAGCATAATTCAAATCCTCACTGATCAACTCATTACTATTTCAGTGTCTTTTGTTCATTCACATATGATTCCCAATTCAACATTTATGTAATGATTACCGCAAATTCATTATTCATTTCAAGAACTTATGAAACTTTCATCTCAATTCGTTGCACTAGAATCCTCTTGCAACTGTTTTTATGGATTGCAATCAATTTTTGAAAGTCATTCATGCTATTTTTTAATACTGTTTGGAATTATGTCTTAAACTTTGTACATAAATATCATTCCCTTCAAAGTTTTTGAGACTTTCGGTTACTGGTAGTGATATTGTTTTTCTCAACCCTTGGCTCATGCAAATCTAAATCTTACAAAAACTTCTAACGATTTTTTGCGTTTCACTTTCGAATTTTATGAGCGAGACCATGCGTTTCCGTTATTTCTCTCCACACCTAGTCGTACCCTAAAAATGTCATATAACCAAAGAAATTTCAGAACTCGTTTCCTGGTCCAGTGCGTGTGGTATTTTTATTAAAACCGGAAGGTGTTTTGCAGCGCGCTCTTGAAGTTGGTTATCGAGGAATCACGGAAAATTACAAATATAAGGTGAGTTCGCTCGAAGGTTCAACTGAAACTTGCTGCAGACTTTTGTGTCAGTCTGTTTCACGGATATATTTCGGAATTTGGGCGATTTTCATCTCTTATTGAGTTTCATACAAGTGCATCCTGGTGAAGAAGTTTCACGATGTGAGCGTTTGAAGTTTTTCTTGGTTAAATTCGTAGTAGTGATCACCCGATGATTTTGCTATTCCGTATTGCCTCTCATATTTTTTGGTACAAAATACCGTCCGTAACGCTTCATGTTCACGTAGGCATTGATCACACTGATGCTGGTTTCTGAACGCATGCATTCCTAATGTCAGTGCGATGAAGTCATTTCAAACTGACTAATGACACCTTTCGGTTCAATCCATAATCATTACCACTCTCAGAAATTTACGGAACATACTTCATAAATCCTCATTCATTTACCGCTGTATATTAATGGAGCATGCTGATGACAAGATGTTATAATCTGTTGACCATTCCACATAATTTGTGTCGGACGATTCTTTATTATAATTAGTCTAATTCCCTTCTTTTTGTTTTCTTCTCGTGTTAATTTATGCGATGATTCTGTTGTTACGTATAAATAAATAGGAGGAGGAGCAACTCTACGGCTCAACAATTTTCATTCTATTGTTCAAATTTCTATAACGTTTTCTCTGCTGATTTCACTACTGTTATGAATATGCAAAATACAGCAGTGTACGAACTGTATCTTCTTGAGTACAGTGTATAGGTTATGGTTTTTGTTCTAGGTAGTGGTGTGTCAGAGTTCAGTGGAACTCCGTCACTACATAGGATCAGATTGTTTAACAATGGACGTTGGTGGTATCATCAAGTACAATCATCTTGAATGGGTACAACATCGTATGGTAAATGTCGTTTTACATTATATATAAAATTTGATGATGTCGAACATCTTTTCAGTGTAACCAATAACTAGCAGTTAACTGTCAAATTTAACACTCTCCTAATGAACTCTTTTTCGAATCTTTGTTGTTATCAATTAAGGCCATTATTTATTTTGTATCTCATTACAGTTTTTGCATTCAAAAACAGTTTTGTAATATGAAAAGGGTAATGCCATCCATCCGTACATTACACTTTTTTGAAATCTCCGTCAGCAACAATCACAATAATTCCCATTCTGCACAAAATTCTCTCCTTCACAACGTGCCTTTGTTTCAAAATTCTCGCATTTGTCTTACTGGAATAATTCCCTGAAATTAGGCATTCAAATTGAGCAATCGAATGAGGCGAATAAAAATGTTTTGAATTTCATTCAATTCAAATCCAAAATCACTTTTTACTCACGACCAGTTTCCGTGCTGTTTCATGTTTCATACGTCTTTCATTTGCTTGCTTTGATGCTCCATCATTCATTCCCTTAGATTTTATTTCATTTATCCGATTCCAATTTGTGCAGTGCATTTCATCTAATTTGGTTGTTCTAAGTAATAAAACAAATAATGAACGTTATCCTTTATGTTAATCTCTCCACAAAATTCTAACTTCGTTTCACTAATCAATGTTCAGCATTACCAAATGTCTTTCTAAGACCGACTAATAAAGGGTAATGATGGAGTTAAAAATGCCGATCTAGCTTGTATCTATGAGCATTTTTTTTCGTGACATTTGCAGTGCAGTGTAGCAATACACATGCCCATATTCCATGCCCATCAGAGCATCACCGAATAAGACAGAATTACTTTTATTTCATTCATTTTGTGGTGAGTGAACTATTGTGTGGCTGGAATAGAATAGAATTGTATTATATTCAAAGTTTTAACGCTGTTCAACGATGACTGCACTCAGTAAATTAAGATTAGTTGGGTTCTTTCTTTTAAAAATGTTTTCTTATCTCATTTACTAACGTTTCTATGCTTATCACCGTTCTAATCATAAATTTTATATCAGAAGGTGTATTTAAAATGCATTATTAACAAATGCAACATCCAATGTGACAATTGCTGTCACTGTCGGAATACTTTCAATCTTGAAGGACATCGAGAGAATGAAATCATCCGCTGCCGTAATAGCGCAGTCACTGAGTGAATTCGGCAGATGTTTGAAGGAAACTGAACTACCAAATGACGTTGAGACTACAGCTCGAATACTTGAGGTTCAAACTGCTGAACGAGATGCAATTAAGGTTATCATCGCTTCCAAATATTATCCTTTTCATTATCTCATTAATTTTCAGAGTATCATTTGCCAGTAGTCAACAGTTTTCTTTACTCAGCATTTTCAAATTATTTCGACATAAACCATTTCGAATGAAGCACTTCATCCAAATCCTTTAAAAGATTAAATCATTCCCAATAAGTGAATCAATCAGCTCTTGCATAACTCTGTTGAGCATGAAATTGCTGTTTACATTTATTGGCCGCTTGTAACTGCGTATTAACTATCCACCCTTTTACGCTGCTTTTTTACGCATGCGATCTTCATTGATATGTTTACTGGTGATAAGCTAATTTACCATATGGAAAAATGGATCAGATATTTGTGTGATGAATATTTTTTGGTGCATATGAGAGAATACCAGCTGAAAGTATACCATTTCACATTGACATCACTGAATGCTAAAAAGTGCAAATTAATATATACGAAAACATTATATGAATTCACTGATGAGCTAGCTCATTCATCTTCTTCATCTGTCCAATTATGATATGAATTCTTGTTATGAGTTCACTGAAGTACTTTGTTTCTATAAGCTTCTTAATGAAATTCTTCAATTTGCTGTTTGGATAATTCGCATTGCATTCACTGTTTTTGTAGCGCTAGTTTTTGCGTTGTGCTGTGAATAACAGCTGTCACAGTTTTTCCTACGACAAATTGAATTAGCATTTCATCGCAATGAATCGCTAATTGATTAACGCATATCACGCATTGCCATTCACTCGGTTGAATCAGTCTTCTGTTTTTCATTGAATTTTATTAATGCTGTTTTTATAGCAGAAAATACAATGAAATCATTCACCGGATTATCAGCAATGTACTGAGTTTGTGAGAAGAAAAAACATGTAACATGAAATTCTGCAGGAAGATTTTCGAATTTCAATTCGGAAAGGATTATCATTGCTGAGATATGTTCGCCAATTGGATGTTAAACCTGAACATGAGCAGCTGAGTCCAACAAGGTGGGTATATGGATCGCTTTCGATTGAATTTTATGATGATCAAACGATCGACTTCACTCTGCAGAGTGCTACACAACATCAACTGATGAAATCAATTAATCAATAAAATCAATTTTTGACATTTAGGTCGTTATCGGGTAAAATTAACGGCTTGAGCGTATGAAATACGGCTTTTCTTAGTGCGGAGAAAAAAATGATAGCATAAGATAATAGGCAATAGATTTTGAGAAACTCGTGATGAGAAAAATGTTTCATTGTTAGAAGCATTCATTATTGAAGCGAGATAGATTCCATTTGCTCCATTCATATCTTCCATTAGACTGTCACTTTAAAGCAACACTGACGATGATTTCAGTGAAGATGGAAAGAAAGTTCATGTTGAATTCTGGCATCTTTTAGTTACAAGTTTACTTATTTTGAATCCTGAAGGTTAAATGAATTGAAAGTCGTCATTGACTAGCACCTACAGATATTTTAATGAGATTTTCATTCGCAACGTATCACTGCAATCTTATTGTTCCATTTTGCAAAATATCTGACGATGAATTAAATTGGCCTCATCGTGAAATGAATGCAAAAGACTGATGTTTACAGACTGTCAGTTGTACATTGTTCTCATTGTTTGAAAACAACGCCGTTTTCAAGTATTTTTGAACATTTTACATCACAATATTTCAGATTGACTGACACTAAGAATCAGAAAATATTTACATATTTTTTAAGGTTGCATAACGTCACTGCAATCGAACGAATGTTAATACAATTGGAAGAAACAGAACGAAGTTTTGATGCATTTTGGGCGCGTCATGAAAAACGTCTCACCCAATGTTTACAATTGAGACGTTTTGAGGATAGCTTTCGAAAGGTTTTTTTTCATTCTTGTTAAATGCTCGTTTTAATACTTTTCGTTCATTGTTCGTTTCCCACTTCATAGATTTATTTGCAAGAGTACCGAGGATTGAAAGGACTGTCTGTGATTTCAATGTATCCGTTATTTTGGAAATCTTGAAAATTTAGAATTTAAAAAATGATAGGTTACTGTGAATGATGAAAACTACTCCTATAACGAGCACGGCTAACTGCGCAATGTATATGCAGCCGAACTTAACTAGCCTGCTACTTTTCGCTTTTGATTCATCTGTGGCATTGCTTTCAACAAAATCGTGAATTTCTACCAATGACAATTGCAGTACTTCGTCAGAAAATAATCACTAACTCATCATATTGCGCCATCATTCGCACTCATTACATCTACTTGTTTCAATAAATGACTTAATTAAAATCTTTGATGAATTCTATTCGATGATGATTATAGTTTGAGTGTTGTACTTATAACCAAACATTTATCTTTCACTTTCGTTTGCCATACAGACTTAACAGATGTCGATCATTGAGGTGAATTTCTCCCCTGAGATGTCAGCTGAGGAGATTTTGTGTGATTTGAACACCCACAAGATACATCAATTCATCATTGTAATTTTTGTCTGTTCATGCTTTTTCCTCATCTTGTTTACTGATCAATCAAAACCGTTAATATCTTTTGATTGTCAATTCTTAGTGTCATGCTTCAGTCAAACATAGGAAATTATTTTATTTTTGAACTGCTTGTTTGTTTGTTCGAACGAATAGAATTCAGTTACAAAAGTGAAACGATTATATGGCATCTTTTAATTTATTCATCGTTTATCGTCGTTCTCTTCGCGTCTTATCAAATTCATGTCCATATTGACCTCTTTTCGAATATTTGGTGCATTTCCTTTCGAAACATTGTCGTTCTAATATTATGATTACGATCGATACTTTAACGTTGTTACCACGATTCTGTTGTCGAATGCTGCAATAACTTAATTTCATCCATCATTAAGTTTGAACGTCTTAATTTGAACAGAGCACAGACAAGTGTATTGCACTGGATCTGACGTCAAAAGACTAATTGTGGTTTAGCAATTAATTGCCTCACAATAAAATTACGCTCTCGTGAGAATACTGAATACGAGGTAATGCGCTAAATACTAAGTGAACGATTGCTAATTGTTATATTCACTCCAATTACTGATCACTTATTTGCAGTCACATTTTGTAACGTATCAACACGATATTCTTGATATGTATTATCATTTTCATTGGATCAGAGAACCGCATACACACTTATGCACTCATTTATGCACAGAACCGCATATTCATTTATGTATATTCATTTCGATCAATTGCATTAGCGTCAAGACTAACCTCTTAAAATTCGAACAGAACTAAACGTACCACAATAGACCATGATTATGCACAAATCTAATTTGCTGTGGCTAAAGACTTTGGTACATTTTGAGTGGGATTTTTAAACAAATGACGAAAGTGCTTGGTTATGGAATTTAGAGTTTTCGGTGGTGAATTGTAATATTACACTTAGCGTTGTAGTTGTTCTTATCCTTTATCACGAAGAGTTTCGCTGATGTAATTAACAAGTATTAGAATCGTAATATGGCTTGAGCTGCAAATCTATCAAGCATTCTAATACTCTGCAATTAATTCTTTTCACCTGCATTCCTTTTTTGCTATCCACAGCGCCATTTGATCACCTCGCTTAGGAATTGATCGATCTCAATCAACATTTTTGTTGGCTTTCAAATGGGACTGACAGATGGTTTTTTCCGTATCAAATTCTCTCCACGAAAACCCTCAAGAATTTTCACGTATCATCAATTTGTCTATAATTTTCGATCAGTTTTGTTTATTCAATTAGTGTTCAAATCGTTTTTATTGCTTTTTGCTTTTTATTGCTAAATTTCGATTTATTCAATTAGAAGTGTACTGATTCCATCCTCTTTGTTAAACTTAAATAGATTTTTCATATTTGGGATTTGTGTTAATTGTGCAATAAGTTTATTTCATAAGTTATAATTTCAGTTGCAATCGTCATTTGCGAAACACATGATTTATTTGGAAGAGCATCGTGAAGTGGGAGACGGTGTTATTAAGGCTGAACAATTAGCAGAAACTCATGCTGAATACACTCGACACGCGATGGTTACTTTGTCACTGTTGTTATTGTCTTCATAAGTCGCATTCATTATCACTAAAATTCGATCAGTCACCATCAAATAGTTCTTCAAATTATTGTTTTTTACAAAGTTGATCATAATTGGTACTCAATCATTGATTATTCTTAATTCCAATAAAATTATCAAATATGATCATCTCAGATAGCTCATTTCGGGTGCTAATTTAAAGTAAAACCAACGTGAAAATATTTAGATTCGTTTCGTTCAACGAAATTCGGTATTCATTAAGCCGTTCAAATCGCTTGAAAAACTCAGCTAAAAACCTCTTCGAAAAATTTTAATTTGCACTTCATCGGCTGAAAATGCGTTGTTCTCATACGGTAATTTCCATTCATAGCAGTTTTGTGAATGAGAATGTAACGAAAGAATTTAATTACTTGCGAGCGCACTCTGATGAATTTTTTCGTCGATGGCGTAATTTCATTAGACCCAGTACCATGCATCGTTCTCAGCTGTTTTAGTTCGAATACGTCATCTGTTCCTTTTCATTATCTGTCTATCATTCATTGGAATTCTATTGCAAATTATATTACTTAAGAAGAAATCCACCCAATTTAGATAGCTTTTGGTTGGTCAGCCTTCATTCCTGTAAAATTAGCATTCATTTACTGCCGTTCACTATTGCCATCTAATCTCCTGTAAGCTGAAATCATCATGAGCACGTCCTCTATTCAAACGCTTACATCCATCTGTATTCATTGCCGCATAACCAATCAGCTTTTCCTGCAAACGCTCTAAATTTAACCATAGATTCACATTAAAAATTCCATTATTATTAGTTCAATCAACGGAATTCTGTTTCAATTTCATATATCAGTTCTGTTCCATTGTGTTCATTTGCAATTTTATTCTCGTTTATCACACTGAATTCAACATAAACGTCATTAATTTATTATGTGGTGTTCAAGTCGTATGCAATGGAGACGTACTTTTCGGTGCACTACCCAAGAGTATATGCTTTATGAGGTGAAAAAATTTTCAATAATTTCAATGCTTATGTCTCGCTCTTCTGACCGTTGTAATTATGAATATGAAGCAAGAGTTTCTCATTAACTAGATCCGAACTTTTTTTCGATTTTCCACTTTTCAGCCGTTATACCATACACCCTTTTCACAAGATTAGAACCGTGAAGCAGAAAATGTTGATTGTGAAAAGTTTCTATCCGCTGTCATCCAACAAAACATTAAACAAGTCAATAAAGTTTTATGTTTCTCCAGAAGGTCTACTTTATTCAACCTTCAGAAACGAACGACCAATTTAGCTAACTGCATTCATCGGGGATGCATTTTCAGTGAACGGAAAGATAGTCGAAAATGTCACTAACGCTGAAGAACGCAATTCGATTTTATGTGAAATATCTAGTTTTGCTGATTACTTTTCTTCATGAGCGCATCGGAATTCATTTCAGTGAAATTATCGCCTCAAATACGGTTCCTTTTCGACTCCATATGTCAGGAATTCAGAAATTCCAGCAACTTTATCTCGATGTTTTTGATCCGTCTCAAATTTCCACCGTTATTTAATTGCTTGTCTCATAAGTTTTTGCTGAAACCTTGTTTGAAACTATTAAATTGAAAGGTTTCATATACCAACGACACATCTTATCTCTTCAGTTGTTGCTGCTGCAGCTGATTTATTATTGTCTTAGTGATGCGGATTCTTCCTCCACCAAGAAATTATAGTTCATCTCATTCGAACTATTTCAATCAATTAGAACCAATTATTTCCCGTTACAACAGAAGTGACAGATAATGAATTTGAGAATGATTTCAGGAGGATGTAGAGATGGCACGTTCATTGCGCGATACAGGGCAAGAACTGATATCGACGCAAGATGTGGAATTGAGTGGCAGTTTGCTGCCGAAATGTGACGAATTGTCAAGAATGGCAGACGCTTTAACGAACGCCTTGGACAGACGTAGTCAAGTGTTAACGCTCAGTAAGGATATGCATCAACAGATTCTTGAGGTTCTGTATTTGGATTTCTTTCGACTTTCTTATTGCTTCTCATCATCAAATGTGATCATCAATCTCGCACATACCTATTTGTTCAAATTCCATATAACTGTAACGTTTTCATTACCCATTTACAACATTCTCAAACCACCCTCAAAAGATAACTGAACTGTTTTGGCTATTTTTATTCCTCTCTTATAATTCTTCCAGTTATGCTATATGAAAAAAAAATTTGATGATATTAAAAAATAGTATTCCACATTCCAAACAAAAAGTAACGTTTTTTCCCGTTTGAATATTCATCATGGTATTCTCATCATTTTCATTTAACGCATCAAAATCTCTCATCAAATAAGATAGTGTTTTGATTGTATTCATGAGTTCGTTCTGTCATCATTCTGTTCATTGGTTGTTTACAGTTACGTTTGCGTCATTTTCATTTAACGCATCAAAATCTCTCATCAAATAAGATAGTGTTTTGATTGTATTCATGAGTTCGTTCTGTCATCATTCTGTTCATTGGTTGTTTACAGTTACGTTTGCGTATTGCTTTCATTAGCGACAATAGCTTTTATCTTCTTATGAATGTGCTTAAGAGATCATCATTATGATAAGTAATACTTCATCAACAAAAGCGCTTTTTATTCGAGATCAATCAATCGTCAGTTGTCTATACATTTGCGACTATGATGTTGCATATGCTATGCCATATGTTCATTGTCAAAAACCACTTCTTCATCCCTCATTCTTCATAACTGATTAATGGTTGTTTAATATTCGGATGTGAGCAATTCAATACGAAAACAGAATATTCCACTTAAACCCATTCGGTGCTCTGATTCACGATCGACGACCGAAATTCATCGTTCACAAAGCAGTTTCAGCGGATTCTGTCTGCAGAATCCAGCCAATCTTCTGTTGTACGAGCTTTTTGTACTTTATCTAATAGGGTTTTCTTGGAAAGGATGGATAAAATCTCGATTCATTCGGTTGTCGATCTACTCATGGCGATATTAACAATGATTAGCATACACACATATGTATTTCTATTATTGCTATTTATTGCGTGCCAACTCATAATCAACTAAACTGTTAAGTAATATATTCATAGAATTATAAAATTCATCTTTTACGAAGCAGTTCCATACAACCGCATTAATAATATAGCACATTACTCACGAAGATATACATTTACATGGACTATGTTAAGATGCGTTTTAAATAGCTGATCGTGAGTAACACCTGTCGTTGTGGTGAAGATAATATTTGCGATATATATTTCGCATTAGATTGATGGATAACATTGATTAATAATATCCGTTCACTTCACTCTCCTACCATTCACGTCTATTCATCATTCATTCAGTGATCCTTGTTTCCTCGCTTTTTTTCGTACTAATTTACTTCCAGCAAAGTGTTAATCTGTTGTAAGCTAACACTTTCTATAATGATCACCTTGAAGATATCCTTTCTTTGCTCAATAGACTATGTCAGTTCATCAAGTAATGTCGCGTATCGAAAAATCACGTATCGAAAAAAATCAAAAATCACCTCATTTAATCACGTTATTCATTAAAGGTGCGGGTCAACCACACGGTCGAATGCTAGATTTTGCCTTATATACCCTCTTCTCATTGCAGACGAAGTGTTATTTTTTCGCAGAAATTGCTTTCAACCGATTTCTCAGAATATTGTAGTCGCAATATCGTAGTGTTAATATAGTAGTGTATTGCAAGGCATCAAGTCTGCTCAAAATAATAAAAAATAGAATGGAATAAATAGTTGCAGGCGAATAAATGGTGTAAACGTGGTGTTGACTTGTTGACAGATGCGCCGTTTGATTTATCGGCATCGAACGCCTCAACTGCATTATCTAATATGGATGAATTCATCGCTGAAGGTCAATCTTTAAGGGTT